AAGGAACTCGTTATAAATAACTCATTGCTTGCAATTAGTCTATTTTTCCAATAAATATAGTTTGATTTCATTACATTACACTGCTGTTATAGTGTAATTGTAACCTTCAATTTACTTATAGCAATGGGTGTGTGGCTTCATTAAACGGTAGAGGGGAAATACGACATAGTTCAAGTGGTAGTTTTGAGTCAATAGCATGAGTGGAGACTGTGCTTTTTGTCATTGAACAGAGGCTTGTAGCATTCAGGTATGTTTTTAAATGAACTAAAATGTAGCTATTGACTTACTTGTGAGCAACAAGAAAGTAAAACATTTTATTTTAAAATGCAACTAACTATTGGCAGCTTGGAACTATAGTGGCAACTAATTACATTTTGAGTAACTTTCCAAGCTCCAGGATATGACCTAATATGGGTAGTCAGATCATAATCCTGCCATCCTTTCAAGCTGGATCACAACTTGGGTTATGCAAATATATAAATAAACAAACAAACAAACAAACAGCAGCCCTTTATTCTTTTACCAAAACCAGTTGTGTTCTTTACTATAAAACATTCAAAGCGGCTTGAGAAATTTAAAGCACAAAACTCAATTAGAGATTGAGCATTATTCTGTTTAGAGACAGCTGTATGTTCCTCCTCATTCTGTAGTAAACACTGAATAGCAAACCTGTTAATGAAAGCTAACTGAAGATGAAGAGCTGGAAACAACTACCACCACACAGTTCAAGGCATATCATTCATCTGGCTCAGATTTTTATCTGGCGTACATACCCAGTGCATCTACCCAGAGGTGGCATTTTCTAGAACATTTTATAGCATTGCTTTCCTTCCCCACACGCAAGCTTGTTTACAGTGTGTACACTTTTATGGCTGTGGAAAGAAAACAGCCTCTATAATCATGCATAGTAATCAACCCTCATTATTTACTCTTAATGATTTTACAGTATTTTTTACACTGGTCCCCTTGAAATTTTCGTCATCCCAAAGAGAATAGCTTGCTTGTAACCATTTGCTAATTGCACGTATGAATGTCAATTAATTCACTTAGCTAATTATCCACTCTATGAGCATCATGCACCAAAGAACTGTAAAAAGACAGGCATATGGTAATAGATTTGGAACAGAATATGGTATGTTGGTGTGTGTTCATTCAGTAGATGAGTGATTGTGGGGGACACACATGTGTATTAAGTTAGCACATCAGCACACCCTAGATGAAAAGATCAGTCAGCTTAGGGAATACAGCCTTTATAAGCCATAATTACAGCATTATGCTAATTGTGACTGCACATTATGAACATATCATGGCACTGGAGGATGTCGGAACATCACTGCGACTTTGGATTGGGGACTTCCTCAGAGGACAAGCATTTAAGAAGTTCAGATTGGCTCCACTCCTTTTGAGGATGAGCGCAAGTAGCACGTTATCTTGAGAAATCATTGGCGGGGAAACACATCTTAGTCATTGAACTTCTCATAATCTAGTCCTAATTAAACTCAAACATTTCAAAAGGGGCCCCACAGGTGCTTTGGGTTGAGAAGCTGTGTTTGTAGAACATAAGAGAATACAGTACAACCAATTGCCAAAATTCCTACCCGCAACGCAAAATAAACAAAATTAGACAATTTGTTTTACCACTTTTTTAATTTCTGGAAGTCAGAAAACATGAAATTGCAACTCTTATTTAGACAAAACCAAATAAGAATGAATTAATTTTGATCAATTTTGCCTTGTCTGAAGCTGTAGTACAATAAAGTTGCGTGATCCCAGGCTGATATCTTCTGACTTTCCCTTGCAGATTTGAAAATGCAGGTAACTTTCTGGACTTTAGTGGTATGGTGTGTTCTGCATCCATTCCTCACTTGATCAGAGAGGTATACATACAGAAGACACGTATTGGTGCTCCATGTGTCTGAAAAAGTGGATTTTGATCCATAAAAGCTCACAGTGAAATAAATCTGTTGGTCTTTAAAGTACTTTTTCTTTCTTTTGCTCTTTAATTTTGCTAATATATTTGAATAGCATGCCTTTTCATGTGTAGCATATACTGTATATTTATCTGCCTTACTTTCTGGTACTTTCCATCACTTTATCTTGGTTGTGGTATTCATTCCTAACAAAGAATTTATGAGATACCAATTTTCATGGACTTCCCTGCAAGGCTGCACTTCACAACTTCACTCTGCTGCTAGGCTGAAAATGGTAAGTGTCATATCCTGAGATGGTATAGTTGACTGTAAAAATTCAGCTTAACAGGAGGGAGCATTTTTAAACAATTCATTTATTTATGTATTTACGTATCAAAAATATTTTAACCCACCTTTCTTCTTTAAAGAGACCCAAGGCAGCTTACATCATAAAAAGACAATGTTTAAAAGATAAAAATAGTTAAGTATACAAATATTTGAAAAAAATCAAATAAATACCACACTAAAAATGGTAAACGAAATCAACACCAAAAACAGATTCAAAGCAACAAGGCATAACAACCCATTAAAAAAAAACTTTCAGACAGATAGCTGCTAAGGGAAATCCTATCTAAAGAGAAAGGTCTTTGTCTGCTTCTGGAAGGATAGCAAAGATGGGGCCAGCCTGGCCTCCTATGGGAGAGAATTCTACCAATGATATCTATAAACTTGTAGAAATGCAAAAATACTACACATAGGAAGAAACCTGTCATAGCAAGAGAGGTTCTAACTCACTCATTTCTGTGCTATGTGAGTCCTCCTCTGTGCGGCAGCATTCAAAAATGCCAATCCTCCATCTTAAACTGAAGTGGTAGAGAACAATCTATCATCTTCGAATTCTGTAACTCCATCCCCACCTCATTCTTCTGCATGTCAGGAAGCCAGTTCCAATAATTCTTAATACAGTCACTGCAGGGTAATACTACTCTGTCATCTCCGTATGTTTCACAGGGAAAGAGGATGCTGAAGCTAAAAGAGCTGGTTACCTAAGGCCAAGCAGCAAGTTCAAAGGCTGACTGATGATTTAAACTGGAGACTTTGCTGTCCTGTAGCTCAGATGCTTAACCTCTCTCCCACTCTTGCCCACATTTGCATTACCCATTTCATACCTTCACAACTGAGGCCATAAGGTTGGCTTCTGCAGGCTCTAAAAGCTGGACATAAAAAGTGATCTCCTTTAGCAGCTAAAGAGGATGCTGCTGAACCTTGAATTCCTCCTAAGACCCAAGAACTCTCATTTACAGAAGCATGTGCACACATACAGACAAAGACACAGGCAAACTTTGCTCTATAGTGAGTGTTCTATAACCTGGAAACTTGGTTCTTCCATCTGCAAAGTGGATAATAAAAGCAGTTTTGCAGACCTCTCTAGTGGGAAAGGCTCATTATGAAACGGGGAAGAGGCACTAGCTGGCGCATTAGACTAATAAATCAAAACCTTGTGGATTCTTTTGCATTAGCTCGCCTAGCCTCTGGGAGAGCTTGAGTTTCTGGCAGAGAGATGGGAATCCTAACCACAGTATTAAACTTTTGCGGCTATGCTAGCAAACCATCCTTCCTCCTCCCACCCCACACACATACCCTGTCCTTTCGCAGCTACAACTGCCCCCTTTTCAACTGAGCTTCCTTTGAAATCCTTGGAAACTCAGACAGCCAGCAAATTAACCCTTTCAAGGACATGTCCACTATTCATCATGCAAACTGCCGGTGTAAAACCTCAGTTTTGGGCTACACACATTCTAGGCATCCACACCTATTTTCCTGAGGCAAAATATTTTTTAAAAAAAACAGGATGGGAATGGGGGGAAGATTAACAATGCTGAAATTATAATTCTATGCTGTTTTGAGATAGAATAAGGAACGAAGGAAGAGTCTTCAGACATTCAAATACCTAGAGATGTGTTGGTTTTATGTTTCAGCTGCAGTTTCCCCCAGGAATGCTAGGAAAAAGGTGGAAAAAGTTCATCTTCCATTTTTTGAAACTATCTGTGGATACAGAACTGCCTCCAATCAGAAGGAAGCATCCCACTTTTTAAAAAATCTGTGGAAAACAATAAAGGAATGAGGAAACCTTTATACTAACACTACTGGAGATTATTTTAGATGCTGGAGTGTGTCATGCAGGTTGCCTATAAGAGCTGAGAAATACCATCATTGTCTGTGTATTATGAAAAGAAGTATCAAAGTATTCTGAATTTTGCAGGATGCCAAGGAACTGTCTCCCAAGAAACAAAACCATCCTATTTTTTAAAATCTGGAATAAATATTGCACTAAATCATAAAAACCATCATATGGTTGATTTTCTTCTTTTGCAGCAACTCTACATTCATACCTACAGAAAAATCCTGAAAATAGATTCACTGGCTCAAATGCTGCTGCTGAGTAGGTCACATCCATGGAATTTAGAGGTGACACACAAAATCTTCATTAATGCAATAAGTCTACTCTGGTTGCAAGTTACTACAATAAGCAATAAGTTTTCAGCCATAAAATTTTCTGACTTGGTGCCACTGTTAAATATATAAGCACAAGGGATGGAGTGTTGAAAGGTTAGCTTTAAATGCTTATGGAACTAGTGGCATTCCGTCATCTTTGTTCTCTATGTGCCTCATCTATGACGAAATCAAATGGTTGATTTAATTATAGTGTTGTCCTCTGAATAGGTATTCTCTTCAGTATCTATGCTCAGAAAAGCATTCTGAGAATATTTGTGAGAAGTGAAATTAAAGTAGATATACCAACAGGAACCACTCCCCAAAGGAAGGACTTTTGTTACCCAGTGACAGTTGTGAAAACAGAGCCCCGTGATATGTTGCTTGAAAAATTAAGGCAAAAGCAAGCGGATCTCTCAGCTACACCGAAGGCAGCTGCAACCATGACTGCCAAAGTCTTGGATCAGGAATCTCTGGTGGATGAAGAGGCAAGAGAAACCAATGAGAGCCTGCTCAGTAAAAAAATCCTATGCAGACCCAAGTCTGTGCATTCAGACAAGCGGTGGTGTGCCCTTCTTCCAGAAGGGAATAGGCAGGATGGAGCTGCGGGCAGAACTGACGGACCGGGATGGGCTGAAGCGACCATTGCGGGTCCGTTGCGAGCCGCAGGGAGAGCTGCAGGGCTTGATCAGCGGCTTGGATCAGTCGCAGGAACAAGTTACCGCCATGCTGGGCCCTCTCGTGGAGCAGGAGAGCGGCAAGGGATCTGGCGACCGAGCCGGACTTGAAGGCGATGAAGATGATGTGGAGATTCAAGATGAAGAACAAAATCATGTCAATGTCAAATATTGTACTGATGGACCACCATTAAAGAGGACAAAGAGACACTCCTGATCAAAAGTGAATATATATTTTTTCCAAGTCATTTGTAATATGACTTGGAAAAATCAATTAAAAACGTGGATGTTTAGGCAGGCCTTCCCCTCCAGTTAATTCCTGATTCTCTCCCCTCCTCTCTCTATTTGATTTATTTCATATGTTTTCCATCTTGTAGAATTGCTTAATTGTGTTATAATTTTTTTTCTTATATTTGTGTTGTATTGTATGTTGTAAGCCGCCTAGAGTGGTCGCAATGACCAGATAGGCGGGGTATAAATAGAATAAATAAATAAATAAATAAATTATAGATCAGGTTAAGCAGGACAGTACTTTAACATTTCAGATTTTGCAACCAAGTTTCCCAAGTCTGCAACCTCAATGAAAATGCATCAATTGCCTTGACTTACTGCAATTATTGCATATGGTGAACTCCTTATATTGAACACCCTGGCATAAGAAGATGAGTAACAGTCTCACTGTCTACCTAATCAATGACTGGTAGCTTGCATTCTGCATAAAACAGCATACCAAGCCATACCTAGCACATACACTATAATCTCCAACATTGCACAGAGGAAAATTTGCCAACTAGGCAGTGCAAGGTGCTTAGCCTGCAGTTCTGTGTGAATGCAGTTTTAAGTACTGCATGCAGGATTCAGCAGCCTTGGGATGCTTACTTTTAAAAAAATGAAACAAACTCATCCCTTATGCCGGAAGATGATTTTAAGTTCATCCCTCAAATGCCTTGAAAACCTCAATAGCCAAAGTGAGCCTGAGCAAGGTTTTCTGAAAGCGAGGGAATAACAGTTTCATAGTCATGGCTAGTATTTGCCCTCTCCATGATTACTAAATCAGAATTTTTTAAAAAAAAAGCACTTTGCTTCACTTGCAGAATTTACACAGATTGCAGACTAAATCCATTTGCTTGGCTCAGAAATTGTACCTTTCCAGTTCAGACTACACTGAGCCTGGATAGTACAGGATGTTAGTGAAGAACTTCCTTCAGAGAACTCTGGACTGTGCATAACCGAGGAGAGGATTTCTGAATTTTTATATGAAAACCCAAACCAATACCTTTATAATTAGGAACAGACACTATTTCTAAGAGACCATCCATACTTATTTTCCTGTACCCATGCAACTGGTACTGCATTCCAGTTGTCAACATGATATGGGGCTGAAACTAGTGTCAACAGAATCAAACCCAGACCAAAAATACTGTACTTACTTCCAATTTTTTTTGTTCTGCTTTACTCTGATTTGCTTCAGTGCACAGCCTGCTTGTATGGACCCTGATACCACATTGTTGATGCAGCTTGATCTATATACCGTACTTTACGGATGGGTGTTGTTTAATGGCATTTCCTTAGTAGAGTGTTTCTGCTGAGCATTCTCCACCTCACCACAGCTTAGTGCTGCTCCTATTTAGTTTTCTAAGGGTATCAGCTGTTCCTTCCTTCAGGACACTACTGCCAATCTCACATAGTAAAATAGATTGATAAGCAAAAATATGAAGATATGAGAGAAAGACAAGAAGAGGTGAGTGGAGTGAGAGCGGAGGAGATAGGCAAAAAGAGACAGCAATGCGTGTTGGGGCAGAGATATGAGGGAGAGAGTCCCGATGTGTGTGGTTGGTTGTTCCTGGCACAGCACATTGCACCCCACTACATCGAGCAATAGACACCAACCCCAGAATGACTGGGGACAATGCTACTATCCAGACAAGCTCAAATTGACTGGAAAATACTTTTAAAATAAAAAACAAAAATACTGGCCGTACTGTTTCACAATGGCAAGAGACAGTTCTCAGACAAGGAATGATGGTAATTAAAATTATACCATTGTCTGCTGGTATTCTTAAATGACGTACACATTTGGTAGCCAGAAGAAACAACGTAACATCTACATGCTACCAAACAGTGGCATTTGAAAAAGCTGAGGAATAGATCTGGAATATAACAGGCACTGAACATACACTTGCATGCAAGACAGGTAAACATTACATGCTAGCTTGTTGACTAAGCTTAGAATTTGATCACAGAAATATTTTCTTCACAAAGGCTGGTCAAATAGTGCTTGGTTACAAAAAATGCACTCATTGACTCTCCTTTCAAATATCTAGATCTACTCTGAAAAAAACAGGGCAAATTGGTTTACTTCCTCAGTAGTAAAAATTTAGTGCTATGTTGGTGGGAGGCATTTAGAGAAATGGACAACTTCCCAATATCACTGAAATATCACTACTGTGCTATGTAAAAGTGCACACTTCTTGCAGTTTAACAACAGAGATCTTTCCTTTGCCAAACCAACAGCCTTCTGTACATGCTCAATCAATAATACAATTGTTCTAGAACACACCCAGTTTGCAGCTCATTCCATGCTTGCAGCATCATTACCAGTTCATAGTTATACTACCAGTGTCATTCTAACCACATTATCTTGCACTCTTGGTTCTTGGAACTTTTAAAGTTTCCTGCTTTTGATCTTACACCCACTAATTCCAGGGTTCTGAGGAATAAAGATCACCAACAACACTGTTCCTTATAGGAAGAAAGGAAATCTATCCGATGAGAGGAGATAAAGAACTGATGAAAAGAACAGAATGTTTTCAATATTTCCACAATACCAGAAAGCTATGGAGAAATAGTTTGGGTACTTTATAATCACTGTTTCAGTTGTGGATTGTCTAAGTACAGGTCAGAGTTCTAAGGAATTAGAAAAACTGAAAAGGAGAAATCAAAGAAGTGTACAATTGCTACCTTTTGTTCACTCATTTCTTAAAGAGGTATCAGGCAGTGTTGTGCCAGATGCGTTACAAGCTCAAGTGTTCCAAACTGCACCACTACATTTTTTTCAGACCTGAGTGACATTTTGGGTTTTTACTAGAATTGATAGGGCTAGCCTGTCCACTGCTGCTAGGCAATGTGCTAATTTTCCAACTTATGCTCCCTTCTCACACTGCATGGCCATTAAAGCCATCCAGATGTAAATAAAGCTGTGAGGTGGGCCAGAGATACATGCAACAGGCATCAAGGTAGTTGATGGGTAGTTCCTAACTTATATGCTGTTATTCATGTCCCAAATTCACATGGCTGATGGTGTAGAAGCCATGTTAGCTTCTTAGATGGAAATAGCTGTAGCATGCATGTTGATTTCAAGCTTCTCCTCAGTTAGCAGTTTGGAATTTAAGGCCCATCTTTTAAAATGGAGGACAGTCACAGGACATTTGGGGGGGTAGTTGATGGGTAGTTCCTAACTTATATGCTGTTATTCATGTCCCAAATTCACATGGCTGATGGTGTAGAAGCCATGTTAGCTTCTTAGATGGAAATAGCTGTAGCATGCATGTTGATTTCAAGCTTCTCCTCAGTTAGCAGTTTGGAATTTAAGGCCCATCTTTTAAAATGGAGGACAGTCACAGGCCATTTGGGGGCCCCTCCTTCTCCCTTTCTACCTTTTTGAAACTCCAAGAGTTTCTTTTAGCTGGTGGAGGGAAGTCGGCCCAGTAGCATGGCCTGCCTCTAACAGAGCTGGGATTAGGAATGTAGTTAATCCACCAGGGACAGTCAATTTAAGACAAATTAAAGCCCAATAGTTTTACCTGATGGATGCTTTCTTTAGCATACAGCAGTGGTCTTCAACCTTGGGCCTCCAGATGGTCTTGGACTACAACTCCCAGAAGCCTTCACCATCACCTCTGCTGGCAAGGATTTCTGGGAGTTGAAGTCCAAGAACATCTGGAGGCCCAAGTTTGGGGACCACTGGTAGACAGTACTGCTTGTTTGGGGTCAAGAGTCCATGGTGTTGGAGAACTCACATTGGTCTTTGAGTTGATACCCTGATCAGCCATTCTATGGTATCTTACAGTTCAGGGTGAGTCAGTTGCCCACACTCACTGTTGTCTTAAAAAGTAAGAATCCAAGATCTTCCATAGAAGATTGTTTTCTCCCAAATGTTATCCTTTTTGCATATTTATTCTTTTTTACCTTTCCCCCCAAAGTGGAAAAGAACATCCTAAACGACTGAACAAACAAACAAATTCTTTTTTACCTTTCCCCAAAAAGTGGAAAAAAAACATGGGACATAGGCAGGGGCAGCAGAAAAACCTTGCATGTACCCAGGCTGGAAGGCGAGTCCACCTTCTGCTCTTTGGCTTACAAATTGCACAGCAACTTTAACAAGCGCAATAGTTTTAAATGGGTTTTAATTCCAGCTAAGGTACAAATGGGCATATACTGTAAATGCATTTCAAAGAATCATTGAAGTGATGGGATTAAACAACCAAAACACTAACAGGGAAGGTGGAAGTATAACACATTTAAGCAAATCATTCATTAAGCATCCAAATCAGTAACACATCATCCATTTTTGCCTCTGCTAAGTTTGCAAGTATGCTAATACATTAGAGAATCTTTCTGAAAGGATGAAATTATTTTATTACCATACACTGTTAGCTTCTGTGGATTTTCAACTGATAAGAATGGCAGAATACAGATTATTAAGATTAATGCTCTACCCTGCAACCAAATACATGGACAAAGTGAAGCATACGTATCCTCTGTTCTTCAGCTCCTCCAGTAACGACAAATTATACCATAGTACTCACCCCACAAAATCATCAGACACATTTAGTAATGTCATCCTTTAGCAGAATAAAGAAAAACTGTAAGCATGCAGGGTATTCCATGGAGCTCACCTTTTTTCCTTGCATTTATATGTAACTATTTGTACTACCATGTTCCTTCACCTTTCTTAAAAAGTTGTATGACAATATGGAAATAAATATTGAAACCAAACCTAGTCAATCAATTCAGGGAAATAAATCAGAATATATTTTGTTATGACCATGTGTGCCTGGAAAACATTGTTTACAAGTGTATTAAATCTATACATGTGATTCTAATAGGGATTTCAAGGAAAGTGAGGTACTTACGGAGTGGTTTTACCAGTTCCACCCGTCACTTCCTGTAAGCTTTCTACGGAGTGGTTTTACCAGTTCCACCCCTCACTTCCTG